CTTACCCAAAGGTAAGATGTCCTTTGACAAAAGATTAAATCCTATCTATTCTGCATTGTGTCTGCTTCTTCTGGGTAGACCTTCAATGTAACTGGTGTTCAGTCATAGCTCTATTTTTGTTCTCAGCGCAAGCTATCTCCATGGCCCTCAGCAAAGGAGTACTATAGATTTCTTCGTCAGTTCCATTTCGGCTTCCAATTCTAAAGGATTCTTGCACTCTATCCTGGGCTTTATTTTCCAGGCTTGGAAGCTGCTTTTCAATGATCTTTTTTAGACTAGGTATCCGATGAATGTCTTGAGGTTGTTTGTTTCTGTTTCTAGTTAAACATAAAATTCCTTGAGGTACCAATGAACTTTGAAAGATATCCGGGCAAATACCTGTGCATTTGCCATCCTTTTCTATGTTCCTAGATGTTAATACAGCATTAGATCCTTTCAGGCCTCTATTCTTTTTCTTTTTGCCACTAGACTTTAATCCAGTCTTACGAACTTTCGCAGGCTTCTTTGGCTCTTCTACCTTTGTTTCAGGTGCCACCCTGGCAGCATGGAGTAATCTAATGCCCCTACTTCTAGATGGTCAAGACCTGTGACATGGACTTCACTGCATTCTTCTCCAGGAGACTCTTCCCTAGACACTCCATATATATCCTCTCTTGAGTTTCTGTTTCCTTTTTATGTGATCTTGATGACATAAACTTCTCCGGGAAGCTCTTGTGCAGTTTCTTTGTTTCCTTGGACAATGTATCTACTTTATTTTTGCCTCTGGTTTTCGAAGTCATCATCCCTATATTGGCACTTGCATCTTTAAGTTTCTTCTCCTCATTCTCTGTCTTACATAGTTCAGTCGGTAAACCTAAATTGGGCTCTTGTGGTTCCTTAGCAGACTTAAGTATGTTGCTAGATGTTAAACATTCCACCTTTTCATGAACTGTGAAACTCTTAGGTGGTATCTTTTCCTTACTCTCTATGCATATCTTCTTTTTCAAATTTAACTTGCTTCTCTTTCTTGAAGCCAGTCCATCTTCAGTCACAATGGTCTTCCCCTGCAAATTTTTGATACTTTTTTGTTCATTTTCTGTGTGTAACTCATTGATTTCACTCAAACTCAAATTTACTTGCTCCATAGGTTTATTTCTGTTTCTAGGGTGCAGTATTGCCTTTTGACTCTTTAACAAACCTGGAAAATTCTTAAAAGGTTCCTTTTCACTATTTCAGAATGTCATATCTGACTGCCTAGGAAATATTTCCTTTTTATTCCTAGAACGAAACACCATCATTCCTTTATTCTCAATTCTTTTTTTCAATTTCATTTCTTTTAAGACCTTTGGTGCCTTCTTTTCATTTCATTGTGTGTGAGATGTTATTTCACTAACTGAATCACTAACTTTTGTTTTTTCATCAGTATCAGTTTTAGGTCTAGCATTCTCCATCAGTTTGAATCTCTTTAGATCTTCTGGTTTTACTTTTGATGTTTTGAAAACTCTCCTAACACCTCCTAAAAACCTCCTAAAAAAGTTTTCTCCTGCTTTTGCCTTTTCCTTATGAACTGTCATATTCCTATGACCTGGAAGCTCTTCTACTTTTTTGGGTTCTCCTCTAAGTTTCCCTAGGCTGCTTGGTGTGTTTTCTATTAGTTCTATTTTGGGTATTTCATATAACTTCTCAATACTCATTGAGTATTCTGGATCACATTTTTTCTGTTTTACCAGACTTCTTGACAACTTTCACGTCTTCTATTAAATGTTCTTCCCTTTCCTTAGGCGTTCTTATCAGTCTCCTGGTGGTCAGATCTTCCACATTTCCACTTTCAAATTTTTCTTCCACGTATGTAACTTTTTGATCTAGTGCTGCTGTTTTTTTAATTCTGCTAAGATGTGGTGTTGATCTATTTTCCTTTGATGTACAAGTGTTTTTCAAAAGTGAAATATTGGGTGTTAATATTTTGGGGTCTACATCGACTTCTTGAAGTGGCATCTTTGTTATTTCACCACTTCCAATTTCAGGGATCTTCTTTAGGGTTTGAATGATTTCATTTGCAGGGCAGCATATCATGCTCTGGCCATATAGCTGTTCCACTGTGTTAGGAATAGTACGTATCAGTTTCTCTGCTGTAATAAATGACAGAATAAAGATAATTATGAAACAAAGACTATGCCTCCACTCACTAGTCTAGGGACTAATTCTTCTTTATGAATTAAAGGTCTACCCAAATTATTATTTTGTAGTCTTGTGTTTTCCTGGCCAATGATAATAATATTTAGTAAGATGATGCAAATCTGCAGATCTGTGCCTATCCAGGTTACAAATATATATATCTAGATATAACTAGATAGATACATAGACACATAAATATAGATAGATATGTTGCATTACATGTAAATATAATATATAGACATATATACCTTTAAGTTATGGCTAGTTTGGTTGGAATACAGAGTACATGAAGGAGAGCAATATGAAATAAAGTGAGTTTGGGGAGTTTGCGTTTAGTCCTAAAGGACGAGGAAGCCAACTAAAGATTCTTGGGCATACTAATTACTATGGGTTGGATCTGCACTTTAGGAAAATAACGTTGAAAACTGTATGAAGGGAAGGATTGTGGAGAGGAGGCCAATTAGGAAGTTATTTTAACAGTTAAGGGCTAGAGGCAATTAGGGCCTAGAAGTAGAGTGCTGGCCACTGTAGTAGGAAAAAAGGGATACATCCCTTTATCCTTGGAGAGAGAACTGACAAGACTTGCAATTGGATGGGGGAGATTGAAGTCAAAGATTCTTTGTATAGTTGCTAAGTATAACTTATAAGAAATGTCTAAATTGTCACATCACAAGAATGTCTGAACTACGTTTAGATGTTAGCTCTCCTTATTCATCATAAAGTAAAAATTCTACATGGATAGGTTATGTCATTGTGATTCAGTGAGGGACCAGCCCTTTGGGTTGAAGGTTAGCTATAGCAACTCATGAAACCTCTACTGGCATGGCAAGGGCAAATCATAACTTGCCATTCCAAAGTTTCACAGAAGAAAAAAAGAAAAACCAAGCACTAGAGTCATCATGTAACCTACGTTCTAAAGAGTCTTCATCTCCTGAAGAATTGTGTAAATCTCTACCAATCTCAGGAGACACATTTGCAGTTTACTTTTTGATGGAGGTTTCAAACATGCCTGGTAATTCTATTAATGAAGAAAATAAGTAACATTAATGTATGCAATAAAAACATAGAACATCATATATGCGTATGTACTGTATATATTACAGATATGTATTTTTTAAAAGTAAAAAAGTCATATTCCACCCTCTTCCAACAAGAAAACAATGGGACAGAGTCCCCTTCCATTCTATTCATAAAGAGATCTCTTCTCAAAATCCCGGGCATGCAATCAATCTAGATGCAAACTCTTGACTCTCATTCCTACTTCAAACAATGCAACAGACTCCCTCTGCTCATTAGGCATAATGATTTCTTTTCAAAGTCCAAGGCCCCCAACCTAGGCTGCAAACTCAACTCTCCTTTCCTGCTTCCTTCCACTGGCTTTCAGTTCTTGACTGGCATTTAGGCCAGTCTGTCTGCTTCTCTTGTTGCTTCACAACCACCTTTATTCTTCCCGACCATATACCGCAAGATACAGCCTAGCCCTGCCCAGAGGCATAACTATGCCAACTCAGAGTTATCATGGGGCTGGTTTGTTTGTAGCTGAAAAGATAGGCTATCCCACCAGATCCGACCACAACAATTGGCCAGGACCTCTCAAGAATGCACGCTCCCCCTTCTGTAAGGAGGTGGGGAGCACTTCTATCAGCTCTTTTAAAATTGTGCATCTACAAACACACTGCATGACATTCTCATGGCCTTCTGTGCACACTCTTTCACCTGCTAAATCCTCATTCATATCCATCTTAGGGTTTAAAACAAAGTTGTTCAGCATCATACAGGGCCATACAGGCTCGGTCACTTTTTCAGTATGAGCTCTGCCAATCACTAGGGTGCAGGGAGAGTTTGCGAAGCTTGTGCTAAAGTGATTCTGTGAGTGGTTTGCAGGCTTCTTCTGTAAAGGAAAAAGAAACATTTCCAAAAATAAATTCAGTATTTCTTAATGTTTGCTCAGATGACATTCCTAAGTACACAAATGTAAATGTATAATACACATGATGATATATATGTATATACACACATGTATTATGTATATGTATAACACACACACACACACACACACACACACGTAAAAATGATCTCCACATTTCTGTAATGTACCTTGACCTTGGGGGTTAATCTCTTCTGCTTTTTTATTATCCTTCTCTCAAGACCATGTTTTGTAACAACGTGTGCTTGTGGTTTTTTTAGTACCTAATCTCACCACATCTGCCCAAGAGTGTACAACTGTTAAGGAAAGTAACCAACAATTAATACAAATAAAATTCATTCAAACAGAACATAAATGAACATTTTTTGGATAAAACAATCAACAAAGAGAAAACCAAACCTCCCTAACCACCGATATCTTCTCTATTTCTAGTCACCCAACTCACTTCAAGGCATTCTCTCCCCCACTTTCTTGCTCGATACATCCAGCCAAATGTTGCCATTTATCTCTTCTCCCCACATCTATCAGGTCAAACTCCTCTTTTCTCTTCACTCACAAATACCACCAGATACTGTATCTAAAAGCTGCCCCCCTACTCTCACTGCAAACTGATTTGTAACAAGTGCCGAATTCCTGTTTTCCCTCCTTTTCTCTTTCCTGCAGTAGTTGCCAAAGTGATTTTGGCTAACCCCAGCACACAAGTCTTACCCATCATGTCTCCACTCCTTCCTGTTACTGACAAACTCTAAAAGCAGCTTTCTATCACTCCCATGAGATTACTAGCTTTTCCAGCCTTGTTTTATTTACACCTTTTACCTCAAGCCCCGCACACAGCTCTGCACTGTCTGATCCAGCCATATACTGGCCTTCTTACTGTTCCTCCTACGTCCATTCTGTTGGTAGACTGATGTCTTAAGCTCTTTGAAGCCAGGGGACTGCCTGCCCCCTGCCTGTAAAAACCATCGGAAAATGATTCCCTGCTCAAATACCCATGAGATTGTCTTTTGGTGCTCCTCTGTTGGAGTCAATCGTCTGTAGCGCATCCAAAACCTGGCTTCTTCTTGCAGAGGAGGATCTCCTCCAGACCGATGGTGTGCTCAGGGTCTTGTGGGGCTGGATGGTCTGGATTTCGGGAATAGATGTTGTTCTCTCCTCCACGAATTTTGACAAGGTGATGTTATCCCTGCTCGGTGCAGACTTCTTATTAGGAATGGCAGGAAGCTGTTGGTGTGGGTCTTTTGTACATGGCGGTATCCCTTCCACTACACTGGGGGAAGGCTCTTTTTCTGGTGGTTTAGAATGCGTCTGCTGCAGTGGACATTTTTATACAGTTTATAAATGACAAGATGTGCTACGGTTCCCTAATAAATGACTGAATATGGCCAAGGTGCATCAAAAGCCTGTAACAGACATTTCATTTGAGTCTGACAACAACCCTCTGAGGGCTAATCCTCCAGAGACGATCTCTGCAAAGGCACCCCTCGAGGCTCAATGAGCTTTGGGGACAAAAGTCTCCCCCTGCTGCCAGGTAGCAGTGAGACGGATATAGCAACATGTATGTCTCTGTATAACAATGATGCCAGCCACCATTGGTCCTGAGAATGTTAGTTTAGGCCTTGCCTTCCTACCAATAAAAGCTACGCTACCCCAAAGTTGGAAAGGATTGCTTCCCCAAGGCAATTGGAGGTAGATGAGGTCCTCAGACAAAGCCTGTCTGGCCACTTGTTAGGAATGCTGGCAAGTTCACTGGTTTGCTGTAGATGGGACCCCTGCCATCAGCTCGAAAAGCATGAAGGGAGTTTTCCATCACTACTAGAGCTCAGTGCTGCAGATGTACTGTCTACCACCACCCAGTGGCAGCAACCATAACTACAGGGGCATACTGTTAGGAGTGTTGTTTGGCAAAGGATTCATTTCTTTACCTAGCAGCACTTGTCAGGGTAGCAAAGAACTTTCTCTTTTCCCAATGACCCTAGGAAATAGGGACTATATGACTTGCCCCCCTAAGTATAAAACGAATAGCAGCAGCACAAAGCAGAAGCTGAACATGTTTAGAGTCTGAGGGCCCTACCCTGTACACGTCACCTCCCTTTGATGCTCTGAGGTCTTACAAGTTTTAGGGTCTGATTAAGGCAGAGTGTATAATGGGCAAAAAAAGGTTTTGCTTATTTTGTGCATCACATGCTATGTATGATGGCAAATGTTAAGTGAGATTTTATGTCTCAGCTTTTCTTTTAAACACTGCAATAACCATAGCAGACCTAGAGAAACTCAGGGCACTCAAGCGTGTTCACGCATGTTCTCTATCAAGACATGATGCTCCCCTTACAGGCTGGAATACTTTGAGTCCCTAGTGTATGAGAAGCCAACATAACAACAAATAACTGAACTCTCTCCATTTGAAAAGATATTTCGTAGGAAATCATTTTTGAAGATAGGATAATATATACCAGTACTTGTTAAAAATGCAGTTAGGGTATGGATCATAGAGAAATGCATAATTTCAACTACAGACAGATTAAATGCTTGTCTAAAATATTGTACCTTCATTATTGACTTTCTCGGGACCCAGGTTGTGGATGCTGTTTTGCTCGTCTCTGGGCTTTCTCCTTTTTCAAGAGGTGTATTGGGAGGTAAATTTCCATCAAATAATTCGGGTCTCAGAGGGGCTCCAAAAGAAACTCTCCTCCTTTTTTCACGTGATTTGTTATTCTCAGTAACATCTTAAAAAAAGTATATATATATATATATATATATATATATATATACATACATATATTTGTATATGCACCATATATATATATATATATATATATATATATATATGTTTATTTAATGTACTTAACTCCACATGCTGAATACAACAGAAAGATATGAATACACACACATTATAGCCTGAAACTGATTGGGATGTGAAGGAACTTTCCAAAGACTTCTCAAGAGGATGTTCTGTGTTGCCTAGAATCCAACTCTGAATCACTCCTACAAAGCACTGTTAAAATGTGTCGAGGGGGCTTTGGGAGCAAAAAAATGAAGTGTTGCCTTTCCAATGTCCTCCTCCTGATGGCATCTTTGGATGGGTTATCAGTTATCAATGACCCTAACAATTTAACTTTTCATTATCTGGATCTGTTGAGGAGACAGGCAATCCATAATTTTGAGAGAGAAAGGAAGTGAGCTGATCAACTTGCATCAGAAAAACTCCCTCTGTCTACAAAAGAAGAACCCAAACTAAATGTATCTTATAAACATGTTTAAATGTAGACTATACAGACTACTACACACAAATGGCAGAAATGTAAAATCTCTTTAGAAATTAAGATTTATCCAGTAGGTGAGTACTTGAGTCAGAAGAGGAGTCAAAATCACTGATATCAAAGTCACTGATATCAGGTGATACACAATAAGGTATCTCATCACCTCCATCCTCATCTAACCATCTGTTAGAGGTTTCATCATCATCTTTTGAAGATAGTGTTGGAAGAAAGCTCAACGGGTTCTTTGTGGGACCGGTAGAGGAATTACCTGGTCCGGGAGAAAGACATGTATTAGAAACTTTCATTTCCAACAAGTCTTTGAAATATGGTTCATCTTCAATTTCTTTTAATGTTTGTTCTGAATTTGAAGCTTTCTTTGCATTACTAAATGGATTACTGCCACTGTTCTTTGGACGTCCTTTATTTTTAGCCAAATCTACAGATTCACCTGTGCTCTCTTTGAGAACAGGCTGCTCAATAGGTGAACCCTCTCTCTTCAGTTTGGGCAGGTGGGCATTGCCACCACTCCTCAAAAAGCACATGTCGGGCTCATATACTTGTATAAAATGATCCTAACAAGATTAGCTAAGCTGCTCTCTAACCTCTAACCCCCCCTCATCCTCTCCCCTATCCTAACCCCATTATCTAGCTCCAGGCCACAATGTTAAGTATTACTTTAAATTTAATCTATTTCTTTTCTTCACTTAGTTTCACTTCTAACCTATTGCTGAACAAGGTTCTACTGTTGTTCCCCCCCCCAAATAAAAAAACCAAAACATAAACAAGGAAACAGTTACTGACCAGGGCCCAAAACTGAGGTACTTCGGGATGGAGTTGGTATCACCTGTGAATCGGTACAGGTGCTTATTAATGTTTACATGTACTTTGTGACTATAAGGAGAATACCACTGTTATGAAGATACTATGCCCCTCCCTCCCCATGCCCCCTTATCCAGTTAATTCCCATGATAAAGCTAAACACCCATTATTTTCATGAATAAGTAAACTGTTATAACTTTGTTGTAAAGTTCTTTGAATCTCAAGATACATATACATTGTTCTGATTGCTTACAACATGCATCATATTCTACACGAGTTTTGATTAAACTTATTTTTGCATCAATCAAGTAGGGTCCACCTTATAAGAAAGAACCTCAGACTTCAAAAAGATGGCCAAGAAAATATCTGATATGATAATGTCTGAATCTTTTTACAGATGTCAGTGTTAAAATCATGAATTAATTCTACGTGTTAGCAACAGAATTAAAACTGTCAACCCCATCACTGACTGAGCAAAATCAGACATGAAAAGCCCAGAAGAATTATTGGAAGACCTCTAGAAGGTCAAAATAGAACAAACATTATACTTTCATGCCTCTTTGTTTTTTGTTTCTGAAGGCGTTCTTAGCTCTCTTTGGCTTAGAAAGCCATGTTGATATTCAAATCTGAAGAGGGTTAGAGGTAAGGTAAAGATGGTTTAAAAATAACGATTTTAAAATGTTGTATTAAAAACTGGCAACCAAGCTAATTACCACCTAATGATGTACATACATAATATCAAATAGCATACACTGGCACATGCCTATACAATTATTAGCTTAAAAATGAGCGCCTGGTTTCCATACTAAAAGAATAATTAATCATACTTGGCTTTTTCTTTCCTTCTAGAATTCAAAGGCATATATCTGATTACCTATTTAATAAAGGAACTCGTGACTATGGCCCTGATGTTGTGAAGAAAGGAGGCAGCCAGGCTTCTTTGCCAAAGATGGGATGTTAACTGAGACTTGAAGAAAGCCAGGGAAGCCAGGAGGTGAAGATGAGAAGGAGGGAGTGGGAGTGTTCCAGGCATTTGGAGGGGGGAAGAGAAGGATGGTTAAGATAAATGCTTAAAAAGTCAAGTGTGTGTCTTCTTTAAGGAACACCAAAGTAAGGAGAACAATCATTTGATGGCAGGGGGTGTGTGTGTGTGTGTGTGTAGGGAGGTTTGGTAGGAATGGTGCAATTTAAAGACAGGAAAGTTCTTCAACTTATAAGACGTAGGGTTTAAACTAGTTTGTAAGAACGGAAAGGAGAGATCTCTTTGTAGGTCAGGTCAGTAACACAACAAATCACAATCCAAACTGGTAAAGCAAATAATCCCTGCCACCACCAGTCATCACGTGGTAAACAAAGTACTTTCCTGAGCAGCAAAATTTCTCCCTTACATCAGGAAATTATCTTAGTTTGATCGATCTTAAAAGCAAAAGCAACCATGGTGGTATTATGTGAATAAAGGATGAGTTAGCAAAAAAATGATTACTCTTGATTTTAAATTCCACAGCCAACTAGAAAGCACACTCCTATTACTTCGTGGGTGCCCTAGGCTGTCTTTTCCAAAGCCAGGGGGGCTGCATGCAGAATTGTATCACCTTAGTTGAAAGTGGACCTAATTTTGATCCAACTAAATTCCACTAAAAACAGTGAAGGGCTTCCTCTCTCCCACATGGCAGAAGGATTTCTGACAAGCAGGTGCTCTGGTCTCCTGTCACCAGACAAGAGTTCTCTGGGCCTTGAATTCAATTGAATAAAGGGCAGGGTTTGCTTAGTTAAAGCTGGGCAGTTGCACATAGTCAAGATTTAGGACATGATTTTAATGAACACATGCAAACACTTTTAATTTCCTTTAGGGATATTATAGTAAGGCTTAGAAAATGCATCAAATGTTTCCGTCTTTGCCAACACCAGTGTATGTTTGACACATTTCCAACAAAGGAGGTAAAGTTTCGGCTTAATTTCCCAGTTTAAAAGAAGTATACAGTTTTGTCAAGATTTTTAAAGTCAAAACTTTACAATGTGAAAGAGGATCAACTATGGGGGTGGGGGACGGAGAACAAAGTAAAAAAGAACAAAGCAGAAATAAAAAAGGAGATTTCAAAGAAGGGGCAAAGCTAAGTGCTGGCCCCTCAGCAACATTCCTGTTTTGCTATGACATGTCTTTAGTCACCAAAGTAAGAATACGGATTTTTGGCTCTCACCTTCCAAAATAACAAGTAATTTTGTTTAGCAGGTACCGGAAAGCATGAACACCTGACTTTGTTATAATAACAATATATCCCAAAATATTCATTTTCCGCACTAGAATGAAACCTGAAAAAAAAATTAATTTTACCCATCACTTCACTAGAAACAATTTACAAACAATTAGTTCTACAAAGATTCACACTGGAAAACCCCCTCCCAAAGCCCTCCAATTTCCTTTGTGCAGAGATGTAATAGTCACCAAGCCACCTCGAGTGACAAGGTGGTAGTGGGCTGTCCCCAGCACCCGAGGTTAAATGTCAGAATAGGAAGAACAAGGGGGCAACCAGGCTAGATGGCTCAGTGGACAGAGCTGGGCCTGGGCTCATGATGACTCATCTCCCTGAGTTCAAATCCAACCTCAGAGACACCTGTTTGCTCAGTTTCCTCATCTGTAAGATGTAGAAGGGAATGGCAAACTACTTTCCACCCAGTATCTCTGCCAAGAAGACCCCCAAAAAGCTCAGGAATACTGCACTGGTCACCACTGAACTCCAAACAAAAGGACAGATGAGGAAGCTGTCCAAAGACAACCCCAACAATGATCCCTGACATCTGGGCAGGCAGCCCACCCAAAGCTCAGGGGCTGGTGAATCAGTCCTGAGCCCTGGTCAGTTTCAGGGAGGAGGGTGGGGGGCCTGTGACCCAGCCCCTTCGGGGGTACTTCCCCCAGTGACAACTTCCCAGGTAGAGTGTCAGAGCGACCCTTGGCCAGCGCACCACACACAGAGACCGTCCCGCAATTCCAAAAGGAATGACGCTGTGGCCCCCCTGCTGCTGACCACACCCCCATTTTACCCTGCCTACCTCGCTCTGCTGTCGGGCAGAAATTGCAGGGGCGGGACCCGGGACCGGGCTTAAGGAGGGGACCTGGGACGTCACACAAGGGGGCTCCCACACGCCAGAATGGGGGGCCCACCTCATGATCACAATGGGGGGTGGGAATACCGCAAACTGTAAGTCCCTGTGTCCTTTCAATAACAATAATATGTCCCAAAGTATTCACTTTCTGCACTAGAATAAAAACCTGAAAACCAGAATTTTCATTTTGGCCACCACTTCACAAGAAACAATTTACAAACAGTTCTACAAAAAGTTCTCTTTCTTCCTTGTGAAAACAAACCAAAACAAAACAAAAGCCTTCACACTGCCTTTTTACAGAGCTGTACAGATAACAGTTTCACAGTGATCCAGCTTGCCTTCTGGGCATCAGTGGCTGGGGAGCCTCTGGCTGAAGCCCCTGCCCTGATGCTGGCATGGTGACCCAGCTGGCCAGCCACCCAGGAAGCTTGTCCTGGGTCAGCTTCAGGAGGCCACCTCTCGAGGACCCGGGGTGCCTTCAGCCCTACCAGGAAGGCCTCTCCTCTGGCCTTTCTTGATCCACAGTTATGGACAGGAAAGGAGAGATGGGAGCTGACGGGGAGGCCAGAGGGTGTTTTTCAAATGCCCAAGATAAAACCCAAAGGATTTCAAAGGAAAGCAATTTATGTCGAAATCAACATGCAGGGTTTTTTTCCATCCAAGTCTATAGATCCTCTGAAATCTGTCCCCAGCCCTTGCACCCCAGCAGGAGCCTCACCTGTGGGAATCCCCACCAGGGCAGGAAAGGAAGGGACCGCTTATCCCTTAGGGAGTGACTTCATATGGGCTCAGGAAGACCCAGGGAGGGCTTCAGGGATGGATAGATGCTGTGTGAGCTTCCAGACTACTGGCTGTTTGGGAATACACCCACCTTTAGTAATGAAGGCAGTGATCACCAATTCCTGTAGCATTTTGAGGCTGGCAAAATACTTCACATACATATCTCCTCTGGTGCTAACAAAAACCCTGGGGAGGACTATTATCCCCTTTACACATGAGGAAACTGAGTCTCAGAAAGGCTCAGGAAGAAAGTGATTTGCCCAGGGCCACGCTGCTGCCTTCAGTGGGTGGCCGTGAATACTGCAGACATCCTACACCTGTGTGCAGTTTGACCAAAGCCCAGAGCCTCTGTGATCTGATCACAGCTTTCTAAAGTAAACATCTGTAGGGTTTGTTTACTTGGGACCAAACATTCAGATATTTGGAAGTAAAAGCCAAGGCCCGTCCAGAGAATTCCCAGGGTCACCCCAGGTTCATCTCCTGGGAATCTTGGCTGTGGGTAGCCTGCTGCTGCCCGTCCTCCAGTGAGACAGATGGCCATTCTCAGGGTCTCGGGTTCAAAGGCTGCCTTGATGCCTGACTAAGCTTTTCTTGCCTTCTGGCTGCTTGGCATCATGGTGTAGACATACCTTCGGCTGCCATTGGAGGCAGTGTTGCAATTGGCCCACAAGGTCTCCTCTCCCATTCGGAGTGTCTGCCACAGCCTGGGCATGGTACTAATGTCCTGTGACAGATACCAAGCATTGTTAGGGGCAAAAAAGGTAGCCCTTCCCAGGCCCCTGGAAAGGCAGCACCTCCCCTCAGCCAGGCCCTTGCCCTCCACAGTCTCCGGAGCTGTGGACAAAGGAAAAGGGAAATATCACCAACATCTTGGGTCCAGCCGCATGCCTCTCCTCCCTGGTCCTGCCCTCCTCTAGCTCCCAGGTGCCTGCAGGTCCTCTCAGAGCATGGGGCAGGAGGGAGGGAAGGAGGGGGAGCTTCTGGGAAGAGCTGCCCCTGGGGATGGAGGCTAGCTATAGGCCTCTGGGTCAAAGGCTGGAGCTGAATCTGCTATCCCAGCCACCTCCCCCTGCTTCCAGAGCCCATGTGCCCCCTGGGGCATTTCCAAGTCCAGATTGCAAAGCTCTCATCCTAGAAGTCTTCACTGCTTCACCCAGTGGCTCACTGAGGCGTCCCTGCTTAGGCACAAGCTGACCTCGATGGACTTGGAAAGGCCTGCCAAGTTCAAACCATTGGATCAACAAGAGAAATCTTTCTGAGTATTCATGTGTTGGCCTTTCCCACTTCCTTCAGGCCTCATAAGCTGCCTCCTGCATTTCAAGCCAATCCTCACTGAGCAGATACTATGTGAAACGCCTTGGGCTCTGGGCAACAAGGGGCTGCCCTCATGGAGTTTAAAGTCCAAGGGGAGACTTGCATGAATTTGTTCACCTGTCAGTAGAATTAGAAGTGGAATGTAATAGGGACAAAGAGATCCAAAATTTTGTCCTCCAGAAACCACACCTTGTAGAGTTGGGGGCGAGAGGTTTTCACTGGCTCAGGTTAATTTGGAGGAAAACCCATCTATCTTAGATCTCCTGAATCTTCCAGTATCCTGTGGCTCCCAGGGAATGCACCATTTTCTGGACTTGATGAGTACAGAGCCATCCTGATTCAGGCCACCCTGGCCCAGCACGTAGAAATGGAGAAGCGGCTTTAGGGAGATGGCTGAGTGGGGCCCAGCCCACTTGAATGGGTCTTCCAATGCGGCTGCAGGCTTGCTCCTGGAGGCAGCAGGGCAGACACCAGCTCGATGTGGCTTTGGGGGCACCCTTCTGCTGACACCCCCTTTCTTCCTTCCAGATGACACTCCAGGGTGATTCTCAGCCAAGTGGATGGAATTCCATGCTCAGACTACATCAATGCTTCGTACACAGACGTAAGCAAGGGTTTCTCTCAACCAATGCTACAAATACCTGCTTTTAGGTAAACCATGACTGGCAGTGTGCCTTAGTGGGTAGAGACTTAGCTTCAGAGTCAGGAAGACACCTGGGTTCACATGGTTCCTCCCGGGTCAAGTGCTTTAGTCTCTCAGTGGCCCCAAGCAGGTCTCTGGATAACAATAAACAGCAGGGAAGATTGGGGCCTGCTCTGGAGAGGGGGTTGTTTTTCACCAGGGAGCTCTGTAGACTCAGGAAGTCATGAGGCGGGGTCAATCTCGAGCCCTTCCTGACTGTCACTGAAACCACTGCAGAGAATCACAAATACCATCTTCCTTCTGCAGGGTTACAAAGAGAAGAATAAATTCATGGCTGCTCAAGGTAAAGTGTTTTACCCAGCTCATTTCTGCCCCTTTGCTTCCTTCTCATTTGTGTGGGAGATGATTGGAGGCAGCAGCCAGGGCTGAGGTTTGTGTTAACCTATCCTCCACGGCAGCCTGGGCCACCCTCTGCACAGGTGGGTTCAGCATGTGTAGCCAGCACCCCTTCCTCATGCTAGAACCCTTTCTCCCTGACCTCACTCCCAGATAACCAAGGCTCTGTCACAGCCAAGACTCGGTCCTCTCCCAGGGTCCATTTGTTTAACTAACCAGCAGAGGGCTTCAGTCAATGAATGGACTGAAATCCATGAACACAGTGCCCACCATATAGTCATGGCTTAATAAATGCTAGTAAGCCCCGCCTGACCCGACACGTTGGGTCCGTGTTGTCCAGCTTGGCAGAAGAGAGCTCTCTCCCTGTGCTCCTCAGAGCTGGTGGTGAGCACCCATCTGGTGGACGGCCTCAGGCTGCCTGGGGGCCAGGTCCTGCAGACTGCCTTTCGACTGTGGCCCTCTCTCTCATCTGCAGGCCCCAAACAGGAGATGGCCAGGGACTTCTGGAGGATGGTCTGGGAGCAGAAGTCAGAGACCATTGTCATGCTGACCAACTTGAAAGAAAGAAAAAAGGTAAGGGGGACGTCTTATGAAGGGCCACCCCTGCGGCCTTGGGATGCCTACTGTAACCACTTCCTTTTCCTACCTTCCTCCTCCCCACCGCAGCGGCCCAGGGGTTCAGGGGCTTGCAGCATTCTCATCTCAAAGTCAAACCTGTGATGACTAAGGCAGATCGTTTATTTTCTGTCTTATTCTGTGGACCCCTCTTGCAATGTCTCATCTGACTTGAGTGGTTTTTTCCAACTGGAGTCACCCAGTAAGTGGGAGCCATGCAAAGTGCTAACTCTGAAGAATATGGGCAAGAGGTGGGCTTGGTGACGGAGGCGGGGAAAGGGCCCTGGTGGCAAGAGTGAGAAGGACGAAGCTCTTTTGCAACCAGACTCAAGAGGTGTGCTGATAAAGGGCAGAGAGAGGGCTCCCATACACTTGAAAAGAAAGTCTTCACCTGCAGCCCAGGTCTTGGGCTCAGAGACTCCACAGAAATGACCCTCACAAAGAGGGGGACAGTGTCAGAGGAAAGGAGGGGGTGTGGTCAGGAGATGCTGTACAGGGGGAAAGAGGCAGGTGAGGGGTCCCAGCATCCCATGACTTTGGGCCAGAAGGGACCTGGGTGTGAGGACTTAAGGCCCTCATTTTATAGGGAAGGAAACTGAGGCCCAGAAAGGAAAGGGGGCTGGCCTGCAGTCACCCAGGGAGTAGAAGAGCCAGATTCCAAAGCCAGGTCTTCTGACATCAGCCCCAGGGCTCTGTTTCATGCTGAGCCGCTGACCTCTGCCTGGCTTCTTTTAGGGGAGACATCAGTCAGTCAGGTAGCATTTATGATTAAGCACCTACTATGGGTTAAGCCCAGAGGATACAAAGAAAGTCAAAAAATAAACAGTCCCTGCCCTGAAGGAAGGAAACAAAAGAACATTGATTAAGCTCTTACTCTGGGCTAGGCTAAGCTTTTACAAATGTTATCTCAGCTGATCCTTACCACAATCCTGCACAATAAGTGCTATTTATTATGAAGCCCATTTTAGGATTGAGGAAACTGAGGCAGACAGAGGTTAGCTGACTTGCCCTGGGTCACAGAGCTAGGGGGTGTCTGAGGCTGGATTTGAACTCATGTCTTTCTGACCCCAGGCCCAGCACTTTGTGTGTGCTATGGCCACTCCCAAAGCCTCTGGCATATAGCCTCATGGGGAGAGAACATTCAGACACCTGTGTGCAAAGAAGAGAGAGACAGTGAATTGGAGATGAGTGAGACAGGGAAGGCCCCAAGATGGAGGAGGACTGGGAAGGCAAGGCAGAAGGTGGGCTTCTGTGGTTTCCTTCCTTGGTGCCAAGGCCCAGTGACCCTGAGCCTAAGACAAACTTTCTTGAAGGTGGCTTTTTAATTCCCTCCTGCATTGAGCAATGCAGAGGCTGGCCCAAGGGTGTCAGGGCCCATTCCTTCTCAGATGCACCGCCAGCTCTTGACGACCCCAGCCCCCACCGATTTTGGCTTCCAATTCTAAAGGATTCTTCCACTCTATCCTCGGCTTTATTTTCACAGGCTTGGAAGCTGCTTTTCAATGATCTTTTTTAGACTAGGTATCCGATGAATGTCTTGAGGTTGTTTGTTTCTGTTTCTAGTTAAACATGAAATTCCTGCAGGTAGCAATAAACTTTTAAAAATATCCGGGCAAATACCCATGCATTTGTCATCGTTTTCTATGTTCGTGCATGTTAATACAGGATAAGATCCTTTCAGTCATGTATCCTTTTTATTTTACCACTAGATTTTAATCCAGACTTATGGACTTTTGCAGGCTTCTTTGGCTCTTCCAGCTTTGTTTCGGGTGCCACCCTGGCAGCATGGAGTAATCTAATGCCCCTACTTCTAGATGGTGACGACCCGCGACATGGACTCTCACTGCCTTTCTTCTCCAGGAGACTCTTCCCTAGATACTACATATATATACACTCTCTTGAGTTTCTGTTTCCTTTTTATGTGATCTTGATGACATCAACTTCTCCGGGAAGCTCTTGTGCAGTTTCTTTGTTTCCTTGGACAATGTGTCTACTCTATTTTTGCCTCTAGTTTTCGAAGTCATCATCCCTATATTGGGACTTGCATCTTTAAGTTTCTTCTCCTCATTCTCTGTCTTACATAGTTCAGTTGGTAAACCTAAATTGGGCTCTTGTGATTCCTTAGCAGACTTAATTATGTTGCTAGATGTTAAAGATGCCATCTTTCATGAACTGTGAAACTCTTAGGTGGTGTCTTTTCCTTACTCTCTATGCATATCTTCTTTTTCAAATTTAACTTGCTTCTCTTTCTAAAAGCCAGTCCATCTTCAGTCACAATGGTCTTCCCCTGCAAATTTTTGATACTTTTTTGTTCATTTTCTGTGTGTAACTCATTGATTTCACTCAAACTCAAATTCACTTCCTGCATAGGTTTATTTCTGCTTCTAGGGTGCAGTACTGCCTTTTGACCCTTTAACATCCCTGGAAAATTCTTTTTTTTTTTTTACCCCATTTCTTATTTACCAGTAGCATGGGAAAACATTTTTTAATAGATATATTTTTAAAACTTTAGGTTTCAAATGTTCTCTCTTCCTCCCTCCCCACCCACCCTCCTTGAAAAGGCAAGTAACTCAATATAAGTTATACATGTGCATTTATGCAAAAGACGTCCATAGTAGACATGTTGTGAAAAACTAACTCTATTTCCCTTAATCCTATCCTGCCCTCCCATTTATTCTATTCTTTCTTTTGACCCTGTCTCTCCTCAGAAGTATTTACTTCTGATTAACCCCTTTCCCAATCTGCCCTCCTCTCTAGCATCCCCCTGCTCTCCTGTATTCCCTCCTTAAGCCAAATCCTATGAGAATAAGATTCACTCCTTCCCTCTCACCTTCCCCTGTTCCCCTTTCATTGTAAAAGACTTTTCTGTTTTTTGGGGGGGTTGTGAGATAATTTACCCCACTCTACCTCTCCCTTTCTTATTCTCTGAGTATAATCCTCTCTCATCCTTAATTTTATTCTCCAGATATGACCCCTTAATCTTCAGCTCACCCTGTGCCCTCTATCTATCTATCTACATACACATACAAATAATTTTTTCCTCCAACTACCCTGATACTGACAAAGGTCTCATGAGTTATAAATATCATCTTTCCATGCAGGAATGTAAATAGTTCAATCTTAATAAGTCATACTCAGGAAGAAGATCAAATGAAATAATATTGTGAGGTTCTTGGCACAGTGTCTGGCACATAGAAGGCTCTGGATAAATGCTTATTTTCTTCTTTCTTTCTGGTAACTCTTTCAAAAACAGCAAACAGAACTAGTCCGGGAGATATTTTGCTCTATTATGTTGGTTCCCTAGATCTCCTCACTGATGATAAGTAGTGATGACAACAGTAAAAACTGTTTCCTTTCATAGAGTATTTTGAAAGCATTGCACTTTTCAAAGTGGTTTTGCATTTATTATGTTATTAGACCATTAGAGCAATGCTGTGAAGAAGGTAGTTCGAGTATTCTTATTCCCTTTTTACAGATTAGGAAAAGTGTGATACAAAGAACTAAGTAATTTGTTTAAGGCAGAAAAGACAGATCCTGGACTCAAGACTCCTGGCTCCCAGCCCAGTGAATTTTGCTACTTACTTTGCTCTGGGTCTCTGAGTCTTCATCCCTAAAATTAGAGGATTAGATTAGATGTTCTCTAAGATCTTTTCCAGCTCTAAAAATGAAGACTCTACCAATGCTTTATGGAAAGACCATGGTCTTGTAGCCTCAAAGAAGAGACTATGACCATATTTATATAGAGAAGAAAAGATAGCCTTCTTCTTTAACCTTAAAAATAGCAGTAGAATGACTGTGAAATCACTCGCTTTGAAATTCAGGGATTTCAAGTATTTATTGGCATGTTTAGGACACTTATGAAGCTATTAAGAACTTGGAAAATGAAGACATTTTTCTCTTAGAGCAACAGAAAGATGGGCAGAAGAGCTGGGAAGAATGTCCACCTGATTTGCTTCACAAGGAAGAGCAAACGACTACAAGAGACCAATCCCCATTCACCCGGAACTTGCAAACTAAAAGTTCCCAGCCCCAGTACTAGAGTTTCATCAATCAACTTACTAGTTTTCTGAGCAACACCCTTAACACCGTACCAAATACAGAGGAAGCTGTGATGGAAAGGATACAAGAAATCAGTACTAATGATTTGGATAGATGTGAGTATGTTGGCAGAAAAGTTGTCACTTAAGAATTTTCTGCTCATATGGTTTACGTTCCTAATACAGAAAATGCTTGTGCCTCATTTCAAATTAAAAATCCGTTTCCATTGTTGAGATTTTGCAACAGTAAGGCAAGAGAAGGTGTAAAAAGTCTATGAAGTTAATTGTTCCATTTCTCATAGCAAAATATTTCCAGTTGTTAAAATCCAATAATGCTGCTTATATCACTTCAGAAGGAGATCTCCCAAACTCACTTGGAAGTATATCTAGTGAATATGTGATGGTTGTCAAACTCTTTCCCCCCCCTAGAACTGATATAAAACCAAAAAGGTAGCAATAAGGCTCATTTAAAAAGCGCAATCACTTGTTCAATTTCTGCAGAACAGTTTAACCAACAGCCTCATATAGAAAATTCATAATCCTGAAATCAGTGTAGTGAAAACTGTCTCTTCATCTCTTTGTCGACCTCCAGTTCACACAAATATTGATGTTTATCTTGGATTGAATATGTTTTGCAGAGGCCTTCCATAGAAGTCTTGTTTTTGCCTAGTAGTCTAGCTTTTTCTCATTGGGCAAGTTTCTCTAGTGTCCTGAAAATTTAGTAGACTGTTACATTATTAAGTTTAAGCGGAAGTGTTTTATTTTCATATATGAGCCTCCCTTCTCTCCTCTCCATTTCAGCTGATGATATACACTGCAGATTTCCTGGGGGAAAAGTTCCCAGCATAATGAAATCCATATTTTGACTATAATACTTGGATTCACATGTTTGCTTGGAAAGGAAAGAGCAAACATGGGATATAGGGACAAATCTCACTTTTATAGTTTCCTTGTAGAGAACTGATGTCCTTCAGTAAGAGATCCAGTTGCTAACTCATCAGGTGGAGCAGCTGCATCAGCTTTATCAAGAGGCTGTGTGTGACTCATCCCAACTGAAGAAAATCTTCTGGAGCAGAAGAAGTCCACGAAGCTTTCAGAAGGGAAAATTACCATTGATGACTTCTTTCAAGGGAGATGGGATTTAGACAAGTAGAAAGCAAGGCTCCAATTAAGTATATGGCAAAGAAAAATTAAGATTTTAAAATTATATCAATGGTCTCAATTTTAACCAATGTGCAATCTAAGAATGATTATCCAATGGGGAGAATCCAGATGTAATAACAACTAGATGGTTGAAGTATTTTTAAGCTGAGAGCATTACTGGTGAAGTGATGGCTTGGCCAATGAGAGCCCATCACTAGGAGCATGCACAATACACTCTGGCTGATGTGTTTTCCTTCATGGATGTTTGGTGAGCCAGTTTCTGGGCATGCTCTGAAGAGGAAAGTAATGGCCAGTATTACTATTTTACTCTCGATGACTATTATCATTAAAATTATTACTATAATCCCTATTACTCTCTAATACTTTATTACTCTTGTTATGAGAGGCCAAGCACACTGCACATGGTCCCTAAGGACTGGGCTCCCATTGGCCAGTCACATTACACTGGTACTGTTCTCCATGAGCTCAGAATCAACTGGGAACACAGCATGCACATAACTAACATGGAGCCACTTTCAACAAAATAAAAAAAGTACAGATCACCTACTTTACATGTTGTTGTTCATGTCGTTCATGACAGGCAGCACTCAGGAGGAGATCTACATCTGGTACCTAGCTCCATCCACTGGTTTTTGGGTGACCTTGAATAAACAGCTTCAACTCTTAGGGTTTGGTTAGTCATCTATACAGTGAGGATGGTAAGACCTAACCACTGGGATCGTAGTGAGGCTCAAACGAGTCAATGGATCTTAAATGCTTTGTGAACCTCTGAGTGCCAGAACGTATTAAATATCATCATTTTATAATAGGTTAACTCTTCATGCAAAATAAGCAGCCATACTTATCATTGGCTCCAGGACAATATTTTAATCTTGAATATCATTCCAAAGCAGAATGAGTCATGAGTTGTGTAGATGAAAGTTGCAAGCAGAAGAACCCAATGGAAATATTCAAAGGCAGACTTTTAATAATTGTCTTGCATTCCCTTACTGTTTCTGGAAAGCAGAATCGGTCTGCTTTTCAATTAGGCCAATTCTGGGAATTAGTCTGAAGGCAATTTTATTTCCCAAATGGTCTTCAAATACTTTACATTTAGGAAAGCTGCCACCGGTTGTGACAAGAGCTGTAATGATGAGTTTTTGCTGTGAGAGAAGTATTGCAAAAGCACCCTGAGATATTACTGGAGAGGTTGCCATGAGATTAAGGAGTGAACAAGGAAAAGCTCAGGGGGAAGGGCGCCTGCATTTGGTGAAAGATGAATAGTTAGGACCTGAGTTCAAATCCAGCCTCTGACCAAACACTTGACACTTACTAGCTGTGTGACCCTGGGCAAGTCACTTAATCCCAATTGCCTAAAAACAAAAAAAGATGAACAGTTAATTAATTATGCTGGCTAATTGAGTGCTACACTCAGGTGTTTCCATGCTTCTGAAGGATTGGAAGGGCTTAATAGGAGAGAGGTAGGAATAAGCATTTATTAAGCACCTACCATGTGCTAAGCATTGTACTAAGCACTGTTTCCAAATATTATCTAATCTGGTTTTTACATTTTGCAGTTGAGGAAACTCAGGCAAACATAGGTTACAGTGACTTACCCAGAATCCCTCGGTAAGTGTCTGACCTAGATTTGAACTGAGGTCTTCCTGACTTCAGGCCCAGTGCTCTATCCCCTGGGCCACCAGCTGCCTCCAAATGTAATGGCCATAAAATGGTGGCACATGGGATAAAACCCTGATCACCTCACAGTCATCTTGGCTCTTTCTCAGGCTGTGGCAACAGTGTGGAATAGGCCAGCAGAAACTGTACAGGCAGGGAAGGGCTGTTGTCAGTGTGTGTGTGGGCATTGCCCTGCAAGGTTGCTTTATTGTCTGCCACTCAAAGAACAGGTTCCCAAGAAACAAAAAATCCCAAATCTGAATGGCAGCTCCAGTTTCTTATACTTCTTCTAGTCTCTCTCCTTTACCCCACAATGGCAAGTGAAGTGATTTTCTTAAGCATCATTTAGTCCCTCACGGTCACTGAAAGAATTCTATAACTGATCTTCATTGACTAAGATTTGCTTTTCCCCTGGGCTATGGGCAGCTAGGTGGCAGAAGGACAGAGTGCTGGGCCTTGAATCAGGAAGATATGATCAGAAAGATCAGCTTCAGGTACTAGCTGTGTCACCCTGGGCAAATCACTTACTCCTGCTGTTTGCCTCAGTTTCTTCATCTGTAAAATGAGTTGCAGAAGGAAATGACAAACCGCTCTAGTGCCTTTGCCAAGAAATCCCCAAATGGGGTCCTGAAGAATTAGAAACGACCGAACAACAGTCAAAGTATCTCTTTATTGTTATTTTAAAAATATCAGCTAAACTAATGTTCTTTTCCTCTGCTAGATTCCAAACCCAGTTGTAAGTTGATATAAATTCAGGGGAATAGTGAATAAAACCTCATTAAAAATGACTCCTTTTACTGGTAGGTGCATTGGGTAATTGATAGAGAATAAGCAGGAATGGGGGGGGTGAGTAATTGAGACAGATTGCATTGTTAGCTATTTCCTATGCTCTGTAAATGAGAGCTTGAAATCAGTATCCCATTTAAGCTATATCTAATGGGGACTTTTGAAGAGAGAAGCAGTGTAGGAAAGATAAATGAGAAAGCATGATTCAGACTGCTGTGTTCAGACCTCCTGAAGGTGGTGCATGTAACAGTCCCTAGATGGTCTCAGAAATAGGACAGTTAAGCTGAAATAATAATAACTACTTCATATAGTACTTCAAGACTCGGAAAGCCCTTTTTTATATACATATATGTATATATATACATATGTGTGTGTGTGTATACACACACACACATATATGTATGTTAAGTTATTCGGTCCTCACAACACCCTTTGAGGTAGGTGCTATTATTAACCCCATTTTACAGCTGTGGAAACTGAATCACAGAGATTCTAAGGAACTTGCCCAGGGTCCCACAACTTGTGTCCGAGGCAGAACTGCAATTCAAACCTTCCTGACAGGAAAACCTTGTTTTGGTATATCTTTACTTTTTTCCCTTCCTTTAAACCAAGGGTCTTAATCTTGGGTCCCTTGTCCCCAAGGATTGATTTCAATGGACCTCTGAACTTGAAAGAGGAAAAATTATATCTTTATTTTTATTAACCTCTAACTGAAGTTTGTCATTTCTTTGTATAAGCCACAACAACCCACAGTAGTATTAGTATTACCTGTGACTTTGTCTCCAATTGTAAGGTCTGGAATTCCTTTTGCTGGGGAACCCTGTAGCACCCCATAATCATGGATTGGTTTTTTTATGCCAAATGAAGAGGTCAAGCATCTCCAGATTGATTGTTGGTAATAGTTTAAGCATCATTATGAACACTTACAAACAAGGGCAATCTTCAGTCTGGGGTTGCAGCCCCGCAGATCAGTTGATTCCCACTAACAGACCCAAAAATCTCTGTGGTAATTAGAGAAAACAGATGAAGAGAGGAGGAACTGAGAGTGTCTCACTGGCTGGCATATATTTTCAGTGTTTTCCTTAGTAATAAGCTTGGGAGTTAAGCCAATGTTATGCCCTGAAATAAATGTATTTCTCGATCATATATGGGTCATGATATTCTTGTCATGACTTTCATATGTCATAGTGTCTTAAGTTTTGACTCGGTGTCTAAAATATAATTTTTCTTAAGTTACAATTGGTAAAGAGATCACCAGTTTGGGATTCTACCTTTCACAGGATTTAAGTTTTTATGGCTTTTTGCTTATTGCTATTTCCCAAAAGGAACCCTATAATCCACCCCTGAAAAGGCACCCATACATTCTTTCTGAATATTTTTCACAATGTCTTTGGGGCAGCTGTATACTAGGGTGCTTTAGGGCCTTTTTAGTACAGTCAGAATGATCTCATTTGTAAGCATAAACCACATAAGCAATACAAGCACAGATAGGAAAACACCATGACCAATAAGAAAATGATCACAATTATTAAAGTTTTCTTCCCTCCCACCCCTGGGGAGGTGAAGGAAGAACCAGTGGCATTTGGAGATCAATGGTTGAGCTGACTATCTGAACTGAACTGAATACAGGTGGGTAGAGTTTCTGAACAACATGGCATGGGCAGGTTTACAACAAATTGGGGCATGACACAGGATAGAATCAATTACAGAAGGACATCAGAACAACTGGATCTTCTGTTTTCCCCCTTTCTGTCAAGGGGAAACTTGCACAATGATGAGCATCACCTGATCTTAAGTAAAATTCTTTGTCTGGTTCCAAGTTTCTTGTAGACACTCCTTAGATGTTCCTGCTAAAATGTTTCACAGAACAGATCTCAGTACAAGTTTAATACCGCCTGACACATGTTTGTAGCTAGATCATGTTGTGAAAACCAGCTCAAACCTTCGAGTTCTGATCTTAACCATAGAGTCACATCAGTGTAGGAACCCAGAGTTTGCTTGAAGCTTCAGAAAATTCAGGTTTTTACATGGCATGTTAGAATGATTTACATATGATATACAAGATTGTCTGACCTTGTCACTTTCTCAAGTTTCCACTCTGATTCCAATTCCTTTAGGAGGATCAGATGCTATTGAGGATTCAGTCCTATACGTGAAAATATAAGTAAGAACACTCTTGCAGGTAGAAGCTTTCCACCCTTCAGTTCAATAGTTACATTAATTAATTTACTTATAATAGGCTTACTTTACTCCAATTATAAGAAAAGATTTGGGAGGATTCACAAGTAATCAATTCCACAATAGTGCATATCAATAAGTCGTTAGTAATGATATATGTTTGTACGACAGGACACATAGGACAAACAGGTGTTTTTTCCACAGTAGTAATAAACTGAAATGAAATTGCCTTTTTGATTAATGCAACACAAATTATTTCCTAAGTTACTTCCCCCTAAGAAAACTGATTGCACTGAAATTCTCTTCTCAAAAGAAAACTGAAGATGTTTCTGATTTAGTTTCAGTCATTCATAGAATAACAGCCAGGCGCTTCAGTCAGTCGTACCAATACCCAATTATTCTGGTATCATTTGGAAATATTTAAGGACTTTGTTTTATCTTTGCCTAATTATTCCGATATTCTTCTGAAAGGATGAGCTATTTCAGGGACTTAATTTGTCATAATCTCTGTAGGCATTAGCTGATTGATGGCAATCCTGGGGTGCTAATTTACTTACTTGTTTGGGACATGGAAATGCTACACATTCAGATGGAAAACAGCAAGATCTCACATAATTGCATTGTGCTCATATCTTCTACTGACCACTTGCTCTGATTTTAGAAATTTGGTATAAAAGGAAAACAACAACGACAACAGCAGGGCATGATTATACCAGATTCAAACTGTCCTTCAGGCTGAGGCACATATATGACATGATCAAGCATCCTGATATATGTTTGATTTCCGGAAAGACTCACAGTTTGCAAAGAACCACGCAGTTGCAATTCCAGGTCATAGCCAGACTCAGGAATGGCCAGGAGGGAAATACTCCTTCTCAAAGGAACACAATGGGGAAACTAAGCAGGAAGATCCCAACTTATGCTGAGGCCAAGGTTTCCTCTTGGCTTTCCCTTTTTCCTCCATCTGTAACAGTCCAGGATCACAGTCCCTCTGGGTGGCTTGCGGCAAACCACAACGTGTAAGTAGTCTGAGCTGCCTGAATGGGGACCCAGCTGGCCAATTTCAGTTGGGCAAATCAGTTTCTCCCTTCCCCAGGCTTCTCCTTTCTTCTCCTCTCCTTTTTTTCTCCTCTCCTCTCTTATCTTCCTCTCTTCTCTCCACCACTCCTGCTCCTTTCCTCTCCTTTCCTCCCCTCCATCTCTTCCTTCTCCTCTGTTCTCATGGGGTATCAAGCCCAAACATGAGAATGTTCTGCCCAAAGGAAGGTAAATTTTGATGACTGAAACCTAACTTGTTAACTTAGGTTTAATTGGATAGATTTCATTTTCAGAGACCATGCCTTAAACCCAATTCACTCTGGATCTCATTGATTGGACAACAATAGGGCCCAGCCCCAGCACCACTTCATGGTTATATTTTGGGCCCTCCTGGCTCAGAATGAATGTCAATAATAGGTGTTTCTCTTTTGGCCAGCAATTCTGAAAGTTTTCCCCTTTCAGTTTGATTTTTTTTTTTTATTAAAGGGGCTGTCTCTTGATTCACTTCTTAAATAGGCCTATTCACTGAATGGGTGTTGCCTAACTCAAAGTGAGAACTCAGAAAGACCTTAATTTGGAAAGGCCAAGGTCTCCCCCTGCATCCTGGGCAACCTTCAGTCCTCCTGATTTATATATGGCCACTGGACCTAGGTGGCTCTGGAGGAGAAAATGAGGCAGGTGACTTTGCACAGCTCTCCCTCTCTGAAATCCAATTCAATTGCAAGTCATGACATCATCTCCCTGATGCCATGGTTCATTGTGAGAAGGACAGAGAAACCCAAACCTTAGGGCATTACTTTCAAATGGTGGATTTCTGACTCAATGATTCATCAGACATCTATACATAAATTCAAAGCTGAAACCTAAAAATGAAATCTCTTGCTGTTCTGAGAGCTTTTACCTGAAATGGTAAGTTCCCCTAATCACGGCTTAGGGCGAGATACAATTATTTTTTACTCTCATGGAGTTGCAATAAGCAATACAAATTTACCAGGCCTCACATACACAAGAGATTTGGCTTAACATCTTTCATTGGTTTTTCTTTCTTTCTCAAATTTAAAATTTTCCTGGTGTGAGGGTCAATTGTTAGAACTCATTTCTACATGATACATAAACTTGCAAATTCTGAGCAAACAAGCTCTTTTCCCAGGACTGCTGACCTTGCCCACACAGATGGTTTCCAGGGACCTGGCAAATTTACAAAATAAGGGGAAGCAACAAGGACCCCAGAGAAGTTGCTGATCCAGAGACCCCTGCCTGTCCTACCCATGCTGTTCTTCCTCTGTACTGATGTCAAGCACATATTCTCTGGGTGGCAAGTCCTCTATTTTCAGTCTTAATTTAGTTTGTTTTGCCCTGACTGAATTTCTCCCATATCTTTCTATGGCTACCCACTTGACAGGATGTCTTTCTGGGTTCCGATGTAGCACTGTGCATTCTGCACTGGTGTCTACCAGAGTGGATAGGGTTTATTTATTTTTAGGACCCCAGTGTACAGTACCTCACTTGTGGCCTCCATTGACCCCCTATATCCCTATATCAGAGGCAACCTTGGCCATCTTCCTAAGAGAGGAGAGTTTGGGGTATCTACCCCACTTACCCTTAGAGCTACTGTGGACTGTGCTCTTTGACACCCACCCCTCAATTTAGAATAGACTAACCCTACTGCATGTCCTCATACCTCATGGAGGGCTGCTCTGAATTGACATAACCAATATGGATAAGACTTTCCCCTCATCCCCTCCTTTTGACACATAGTAATCAAGATCCTTAGTGGGTAAGTCAATTGAGTATCCCTTGCAACATACTCTGCAATTAATAAATAATTGACTTGAAACCACTGCAAATTTCCTGGCCATTGAACCTCATGATATCATTATCAGCAATCATTTTTTTAAAATGTCAATATTCTACTGGTATAGCAGTGAGGTCATCACTCCACCATCATCTGGTGGAAATGTCAACCTTCTACTGGCATAGCAGTGCAGCCGTTTAATAAGATAGGATTCTTCAACCAGTTGGTGCTGGATTTGCATTTTTCTACTTTACTATATAGGGTAGAAACATTGGTCTTCATCTTCTAAATAAAGTGCAGTATATCATATACTTCTACTTGCAAGTCTTCGTGTAATTTGTGAGACTGCTTTGGAAAAAGGTAAGAGACATATAGCCATCAAAATAACAGCTGTGTGATCTGATCTCCCAGCAGCTTCCAGGTTCATAGTTCTAATACTAAGTCATACATATACATACATACACACATATATGTATATTTATACACACACACACACACACAGAGACACATACACAAATATGTATATACACACATAGTGAATCATCTTTTGAATCCAGATCCTTAGTGTTTTATTCTATTCAGTATCCCTAGCCACACACTAGGCAATTAATATATGTATTTGTTAAATTGAATTGAATTGAAATCACTGCAAGTTTCTGACTGTTGATCCTTGTGGTATCAGCACTCAACAACCATTTCTTTAAAATGTCAACATTCTACTGGCAGAGCAGTGATGTCATCACTCAGCAACCATTTCTTTGAAATGTTAACATTCTACTGGCATAGCAGTGCAGCCATTTAATAAGACAGGATCTTTCTGTGGATTGGTCTTAGACTTTCATTTTTCTTTTGAAGTGATTTACTAAAAACTTTGATGTTCTTAGTTTTCTAGATAAAGAATAGTAAATCATATATATATATATATATATATATATATATATATATATACATTATATCATTTGTAAAACTACTTTGGAAAAAGGTAAGAGAGATATTGGCATCAATATCAGAGCTGGGTGGTCTGATCTCCAAGTAGCTTCATGTTTTATAACTCTTATAGTATGTGTATAATATATATACTACAAATATGTATGTACACACGTATGTGCACATGTATAAGAATGTATAATATAAATGTGCACGTATTTATATATGTATACGTATATATGCATTTCCATATGTTTCCATATGTGTATATATGTATACATACACACTCACATACATACATACTTACATCATACTGATAGCTCTCAATTTCCCCTTCCTCTCTCTCTCTATGTATATACATATGTATATATATAATGCATATCCCTGCTTAATTGTAGCCTTCTGCGGTGAGGGAAGGTGAGGAAGGGGGAAAAAAGAACAATGTAAAAAGTGCACAACAGTGTAGAAAATGTATAAGGAAGCAAAGATGGACAGATCTAAACACAATGAGTAGTATTTAGTATATATGCTTTCTTCAAATGGAAATTTATTGATGTATATTTTCAATCCTCTCTCACATACTGCTGTGCACAAGACAATGCTTTTTTCCTCTTATTTTGTATTATTTTAGTTTTAGTACTTAAAGGGTTTTTTTGTTTTTTCTTGTCTTGTTTTTAAGTTTAATTATAAAAAATGGAAAATGAAAATAAACAGTCACACTACTGTGTTGTACCCATCACACGTCAAAGGCTTCAAAAACTTTGCTTAATAGTTGGTGCCCATTTTATTGCACTAATTTTTGGAGATAGGACTAAAACTTGCAATGTAGGATAACTGAGTGATATTGAGACTTTTCTGATTTATTCAACATATTTTAGTGGACATGATATTTGATATTTGTTTAAAATTTTTTTCCCCAGAAGCAAATCTGTGAAACTCTAAGGAAAGTTTTCCCTTGGAGCACAAAAATTGACAAAATTGGAACACAGAAAAATGAAAAACAGTGTCCTCAAAAATTACATCACTATATAGAGGGGCGGACATAAGCAGAGTCAGAGTAGGAAGGTCCCTGTGTGGCATATACATCTGAGCAAGTGTTACAACTTTTGAGACTCAGTTTTCTCAGCCGAAAAAGAGGAAGTACTAATATCTTCCCTCTCTACCTCACAGTACTATGATGAGGATCAAGACAGACAAGATGATAATACCTTTAAAGGAATTTTGTGCACAGCAAAAGATGAAAGAGTAGAATGGTATCATTAAGTCATCAGTAGTTGAGGGACAGGCACCAGAAGACCCCAAATGTCTCAATGAATCACCCACTCTTACCCTTCATTCACTATATAGTGCTAGAATCATCTCTGCTGGATTCATCTTGCAAATTCCTTAGGCTAAGAACAGTATTACATTAATAGTCATTAGGATAATATAGCATTGTTCTAGAGTATAGTAGGGATGTGTTAGAACCTATGGGCTTGAGCAAGGCTTTGATTGAAGGTTGGAGAGGAGATGATTTGGAGAGGGTAGGACAAAGTGGTGTGTGGCAATGAGGGTTGGGGGCGTTCCAGGGCACTGGCCAACTCCGAGGGAGAATACTGAAAAGGAAAGTAGAGGACACCAAAAACATTCATTACTGAATGACAGTACCAAATTTCCTAGGGATACCTAGCCTGTTTAATCCATTCTTTTGCCCTCTTCAGGGTCAGTCCCATTAAAGACAAACAAAGTTAAATACTTCACCATTTTACCTCAATGAAGGATAACCATGTTGAGGAACACTCAGAGCAAAGATCCTTTGTTGGAACAATCCCAAAGAGGCCAGCACAAAGTCCCCTCCAGAGTTCTAATGGAAAGCCCCAGTTGGAACAATCCTATACTGAATTATACATGGATACTGACAAAGGGAGACATTTTAAACAGGGATGAGCCTATGCTAACTTGTGAAGGACATTAAGTTTGTCTTCAAGAACCATCATCTTTTTGCCCCTTCCCCTCACCTACATTTTTTGTCACCTTCCTCCTTCTTCAAGGAGGTGCCCAGTGGCTCTCTACCACCTAAGGGATTGTCATTAAGCTTCTCACCCAAGTCTGCCCTCCTAGACAAAATCCCAGTTTAGATTATGTAATCCCCAGATTGGATTAGACAGTCGTCCCTTCTCATCCAGCAAATTTTGCATGACTGGCAAGATTCTGTTCTCAGGAACTGACTAATTTGAACAAAGATGTAAATGACTGATGTTATTCCTTTCAGATGTCCCTTCTTTTAGCTAGAGAGGCCTATCCTCACTTAATAGGTTTTATTCTAGTCAGAAATTCTGAAGGTCTTCCACTTTCAGATGGATTCTTTTGTGAAGGCACAGTAGGCCATCTTTTGCCTCATTGCTTACCAAACTGAATCACTAAATGGGTGTTGCCTCAGAGAAACTGAAACCTGGGAAACACCTTAATTTAAAAAGCTCAAGGTCTTTTAATGCATCTGGTGCTGCCTCCAGTGGTCCTGACCTATGTGTTGCCCAGAACTCTGATGACTGTGGAGCAGAGGGTTGGGCTGATGACTTGGCACAGCTCTGTCTTACTTAAATCCAAATCACTTGCAAGTCAAAATGTCACTCTTGTAATTCACTGGTCCTCTTCTAAAATGAAGGATGAACAAAAATCAATGCCTATAACCCAATTGTTTAGGTTAATATAGTTTATACATACCTATATATATATATATGATTCATGAGTTATTATATATTCTAATTTATGAACAACATATACATTTGTACATAGGTAAATACACATGTGTATATTCATATGTAAATATATATACATATATGTATATATATACATATGTGTATATATACACACACACACATATATATATATATATATATATATATATATATATATATGCGCACACATACATATATCCACACTTATGTGTGTATAAAGACAAGGTACTGCAACAGTTACAATCTAAACACTGTGTTTTCATCATCTTTTTAGAAGATGCTTTTTAGAAGCAAAGCCCACCTTCTTGGCTCCAAGCAGGCCAGGTAGCACAGTTCCACTGGGGCAGCTCCAAGGAAAACTTGCTAAATAGTGAGAAAGAGATTGTAGTGGAACCTTTCTGAGGACATTGCTGTGGACTCTACATGGACCTTGTGGCCTCCTTCTCATTGACATACATATTGTCTCCATGCAGAACCAGCCGTATCATCCAGAAGATTCTTCCTGTCATGTCTGCAATGGCAAACGAATTTTCAAATCAACAACATGCAAGAAAGTCTGTTAGGAAACGACAAAAAGGTCTATGTCAGATCCTAATTGGAAGAATCAGGCTTCTCTTTTCATGTTTATCTAGGAATAACAGCGCAGTGGTGGATCAGGTACTCTGACATTTTTCCATCTACTTTCCACACTCTTATAAGATATGCCACTGTGTAATAGTTTTCTGCAAACTTGCTTGGGGTTTTAGCCTATGCTGTCACTGAAAAAGAAAAAGGAAACATTCTGTTGGATGTCCATCTCCCCATAACTGATGTGGCTGGGTGCTTCACAATTCCTTTTCTGCACACTTACCAGTAAAATTCACTAGACTTCAGATTGTTTGAATCCTTGCCCCTAACAACTCCAAAGCAATTTAAAATGAAACATTTTCTTCCAATGAAAATTAAAGCAGAGTTAATTTGGTTTCAGTATTTATGAGGTGTTTTATGGCTTCCTCTAACTGTAGAAATAGTTAATACTGAGTCACACACCTCATCAATACAGTTTATGGCTCATATTCTAAACAGAAGGGCTAGAACTCAATAACAAAATGTTCCCTTTGACAAGACACAAGGAAAAAGGGAGTAAAAAGACTGAAAACATTAACTGTACTCCTCACCCTATTAAGAGAAAGATCGGTGACCATCCTACTTCATGGTTACTAGTAAATCAGAGAAAATGTAGGTCCCTGTTCATTTATTAAAAAAAAAAAGTCAACATAAACTGTTCTAATTCTTTTAGCTAATGTAGGAGTGTACCAGAAAAAAGATTATCTAGTATTAGCCCAAGAGATAACACACAAATTGTATTCCCTACCCCTTGAAAAAGGATTAGGTTAGGATTCAAGATTGAGGTTTAAGTCCTGGTACTATTGAGAACTTTCTAGGTGACTTTGAATGTTTGTTTGAAAAACAGATAATTTAGGAGAGTTTCTTTTAGTCAATTTAAATACTTAAAGGATTGTCATCAGAAAATGGTGTCCTACTTAATGCCAAAGGGAAGAATTAGGAAGTCACAAGGTGGCATATTCTGATCTCATAAAAAGAGAAACTTTGTGACAATTAGAACTTTCAAAAGAAGAATGGGCTACCTTTGAGGTAGTGAGGTCTCTGTCACTGGAAATCTTCAGGCAAAGTATAGATGACCCTTTGATTTAATCCCCTCTGAGCTACTTAATAATTCAAAGTGTTTGAATGAGGAAAGAATACTATCCAGTCTTAGTCTTAGGAGACCTAGTTAAGAATCCCATTTCTGCTACTGTGTGACTGTTTCTTTGTCCAGAAAATAGTGATCTTTAAGATTCCCCAAAATTCTACTCTTCAGTGACATCTGTGAAGTGACAAAATGAAACAGTTTTCTCTTCCCTCTCTCTCTTCTCTCTGTCTCTCATTGAGATAAGAACCAGGCATTAATAGAGAGAAGGCACTAGAATTAATAACTTACAGGGATGTCTTGTTGAAAGTGGGATTTTAGGTAGAACGTTAAGGAAGCCAGGAAAACAAAAATGGCTATGAAGCAGGAAATGATTCACTGGTGCAACCAGTGAAAATGCCTGGAATTGAGAGATAGAGTTTCTAGTTTGAAGAACAATAACAAGGCCAATGCCTTAATGACTCAGAGTACATGAAAAGGTCTCCTTATTTCCTTCTATCCTTCCTTCCTTCCTTCTTTCTTCCTTCCTTCCCTCCTTCCTTCCTTCCTTTTCTTTCCTTCCTTTCCTCTCCTCCTCTCTGTCTCTCTATCCTTGTCTTTCTCTCTCTCCCTCCCTCTCCCTCCCTCCTGTCTTCTCTCTTTTATCTATGGATACTGTGGAGCTATTATATCCTTCTTTGTGTCTTAGACATCCCTGGTTCCATAAAACTTCTTTTTTGGAAATGTCATCTTCTATTTACTCAGATTTTCAGCCTTTCCTGAATTGGAACTTTTCTCAAGGTCAGCCTCCTCCCACTTTTGCACTCTTAGATGGTGGGATCTTGCTTCCTTTTGATCTGTATTATCTGGGCTCCCAACTTTGGTTTGCATTACTGCTGATGTCTGTGCTTAGAATGCGGCAGGTAGATCTGACTTCAAATTGCTTCTCAGACACTTACTAGCTGTGTGACCCTGGCCAAGTCACTTATCTCCTATTTGCCTTGGTTCCTAATCTGCAAAACGGGGACACACTGGAGAAGGAAATAGAAAACCACTTTAGTGTCTGCCATAAAACCCCATGGACAGAATCCATGGGGTCAAGGCATGTTGGACATGACAGAATGACTGAACAACAAAAACAGCAGCAGCAACAGATCCCTATGTTTTGTCTTTGGGGTAACTCAGGTCAGAGTGCCGCAAAGAGCCCCTGAATGTGTCAGATTGATTTTGGGGGTTTGAAATTTTCATTTCACCTGGTTCAGTGTGATCAATGTATCTTCTTCTGATGGTTATTTAACTGATAGTAGACTATTTTTCCTTGTTATGTGTTAGTTTCATAAACTTTTACTCAACAAAATATTAATATAACTGACAATTTAGAAAGCTTCTTCCCCTTATTTGATATTAGAGGGAGCTATTGTCATAGAGGAAATATCTATATCTCAGGAACTTAGAAAAGAAATAAAAATATGGGTCATGACAATGATGATGATGATGGTGGTCATAATAATAAGACCCAATAGCTATAATATGTAAGAGTTTCCAATTCAATTAGATGGTCATTGACGAAAAGGATCAAGCCACTTCATGTCTCTGGCCTTCAGTGTCCTCATAGATACACTCAGTTCCCCCCCCCCAAAGTCATCTTCAGTTTCAAGTCCTATGATCCTCTGGAATTCAATGGATCTGCCTGGTAACCAAAAGAATAAGAACTCTTCTATGAGTGACCAATGTGGCTTACTGTCACTGCAAAACTTTTAGGGGCTGTTAGACAAATTTTCCTCCGACTTTTAAAAATAATTTTTCATGGTCCTTGTGCTCCATGGTAGACACATTTATCTAGGCAGACACATATTCTTTTATGTCAAGTTAAGTGACTGAGCATTCATCAAGTGTCAGCTATGTTTCAGTCACTATGTTAAGTGTAGGGGATTCAAAGAAAGGCACAAGACAGTCCCCTGCCCTCAAGGAGCTGCCATTCTAATGGGGGAGGCAACAAGGAAAAAACTATGTTCATACAATAAAAATGTTTAGTCTTCTTTCCCAGAAAGAAGGTAAAGACCCTTTGCTGATTGTCCTGGTAGGACTGCTTTTGGGGGATGATTAATCATATGCTGGGTTAGTAGAGAAGAATAGTGTTGTTTCTTGTTTCCCATTTGAGTGACTGTGGTGGGATGGTCATTTCTTAGTCCTATCCATAAGGCTGGTGTTAAAGGCTCACATACTGAGGTTGTCATTTCTCTTTTCAGTCTCCTTTAGACCCATCCCTGGAAGCAGTTTCCTCCCCAAAGCATAAACAGCACTTCAAAGGGGCAGCTGACCCAGTCCATACGTCTGACCATGCAGATCTGCTGGGGGAGGCCAAGAAGACTCTGCAGACAGAGGTGCGTGGATCATCTTCATAGAGTTTTCAGGGGAAGTTCTTCCTCAATAAACGTGAATGATAAACGCGCTGATTACTGGCTCTCCAGCCATTTTCTAATGTGTTTTTTAAAAAAATATGCTGATGGCAGTGTTCCTTTGACTATGGTTTCTGTAAGATCCAAATCGCTGCTTCTCTTTCAAAGAGAAGGTTTGAATTTTGCGAGTGGTAAGGTGGCCTTCAGGCAGAACACCATATACTAGAGAATGAGGAAGCTGCTTCTTGGCACGCTTGAACCCAACAATTACACAGGGCTTCAATTTTTTATGTTGTCCCCAATACTATTAAATTTTAAAACAGCACTACAACTTTTGTGACATCTTATACTGCATACTATATAGGCCTACTGCAATTGTGTAATGTAGATACATTAACCACACTTGACATATATGGAAACTGAGTCTCAGAGAGTTTTAAGTGACTTGTCCACGATCTCACAACTGGTGTGTGATAGAAGTGTCAACTGAGTTCAACTTTCTGACCCCCATCCAGCACTAATCACTCACATCAGGCTGCCTCTCCTCACCAACCTGAGCAAAGTAACCGATGAATGAAATTAATTAGAGGAGCTCTTCCCTCCATTTTCCCCTGGAAAGGAAGAAACTCTGACTTCCAAAATTCAGCTCT